TGGAAGACCTTTCTTTATGTAAGAGGGTTGGTCTGGGGCTCCCTCTCAGGCTCCAAGTTTTGGGGAAATACAAGACCTCTAATATATATCAAAGGAAAGGTGGATGCGGGCACAACATAACAACTTTACACCCTCATAGAATATATAAAAATATAATGATTTGTCCTTTTTATTAATACAATCTTAAATAGAAATATAAATGCATGGACTTTCCGGAAATTCTTATGGGGCCACTTTTCTAGTTGCATTCTCTCCGTGGCCCTAACATTCCTCTACTCTGCCAGACCACGCATGATTGCAAAATGATTGTATAGAAAAACAAAGGACTAGGAGATGACTGTGGCTACATGTCTCTATGATGTTTATCTATAAATGCACCAGCTTATCTCGAAGAACTTCTTGCAGTCCTTTGGTACAGGTTAGTTGGCACTAATTCTCTGAATAGAAATATCCCATGTGTTTTATCAGAAATGCACATAGCTGTAGCAATGCTGAAGTTTAAGAAATGTCTGTTATTGGCTCCTTCCCCCGACAAGAATGTTATCCATTTTGAAATATGGTAGCTTTTTTACAAAGCAGTAAGGATCCGCTCATCTCTTAGAGCATTTGGAAATTCAGCTTAACATTTTTTGGCAAATTTTTCCTGGTCTTAAGTGAATTGGACTCTACACAGGAACCAATCTCAATCAATCACTGGCTATCTCATAAATTATTCTTCTGATGTCCCTCGCCGTGTCAAACGAGCTGCTTGCTGCCAATAGCAACAGCTTTTTGTGGACCGTGTAGAGGGTGTCGCCAAGCCAACCCTCACCTGATCAAAAAAACTAAGAGGAATTAAATTCTAATTTACTAAAGACCAAACATGATATAAATTAGATCACCTAGAAGGGATGCATTTGCCTATTATATTATTGTTGGTATTTATATAGTGCTGACACTTTTACGCAGCGCTTTACACAGTGCGCACATCAGTCCCTACCCTCAAGGAGCTGACAATCTAAGGTCCCTATCTCGTATGTATACATTTGAGGACCACTTTAGACAGGAGCCAATTAACCTACCAGCATGTCTTTGGAGTGTGGGAAAAAAAAATAGGAGTACCCGGAGGAAACTCATGCAAGCACAGAGAGAATATGCAAACTCCTTGCAGATAGTGACCTGGCCAGGATTAAAACCGGGGACCCCCAGTGCTGCACAGCAGAGCCGCTAACCATTATGCCCCTGTGCTGCCCATATATATGTTGTGCATGTAAAGTCCATTTGTGAGACCAGTTCTGTGACTACGCGGCAAAGGACTACAGGTATGTGGGTCTGTCAGCCATGTCTCTGAGGAGGAGGCTGGATGTGATACAGCCCAGAAATAACCACGTGGGCATGCATGTAGAAGCAATCTCTGTGTAGCACAGGAAAACATGCTTCATTGGAACCCAGAGGGAATCCAACATCATTGGAAAACTGAACTAGTAAGGTTGAAATTGGGTTTTAATTCCTTTCTGCAATTTTAAATGGTATGTATAGTACAAGTAAAGATATACACTATTGCTTAAATTGTTAAAGCTACTGAAAGCGTAATAAGTTTAACTCCAGGCAGATGGCTAAATACACAATTGAAATACTGTATAGTTAAATGGTTTACTGCCCCAGGACTTGTAACCGGTTTAACCAGTCATGTGGTTCACACAATTCTGCCATACTGTACTATGCTGTTTTCTAGTTTAGCTTTACATGTGCCTGAATTTCTTGCTTATTGGTGAAGATGTGACAGCTTAAGCTATTGGCACATTACGCCAATTTTTAAATAATGACTTTAAATTAGGCAGCAATGATATAGCATTGGTACATTATGAAGCAGTGCACAAAATATACACCGATCAGCCATAACATTATGACCCCTGAGAGGTGAAGTGAATATCACTGATTATCTCGTTCCATTCGCACCTGGCAGTGGGTGGGATATATTAGGCATCAAGTAAACATTTTCTCCCTGAAGTTGATGTGTTGGAGGCGGAAAAAATGGGAAACCATAGGGATTTGAGCGACTTAGACAAGGGCCAAATTGTGATGGCCAGACAACTGGGTAAGGGCAGCTCCAAAACGGCAGCTCTTGTAGGATGTTCCTTGTTTGCAGCAGTCAGGACCTACCAAAATAGGTCTAAGGAAGGAAAACTGGTGCACCGATGACGGGGCTCATTGATGCACGTGGAGACCAAAGGCTGTCCGGTGTAGTCTGATCCAAAAGAAGAGCTATACTGTAGCTTAAATTGCTGAAAAAGTTAATGCCGGTTCTAATATAAAGGTGTCTGAATACACGGTAGCCACAGCCCGGTGGGGTCCCCATACTGACCTGTGTCCAGTGCCATAAGTGCCTACAATGGGCACACGAGCATCAGAATTGGACCGTGGAGCAATAAAAGAAGGTGGCCTGGTCTGATGAATCATGTTTTCTTTTACATTGTGTGTTGCTAGCCTGGGGTAGGGATGGCACCAGGATGCACTATTGGGAGAAGGCAAGCTGGTGGAGGCAGTGTGATGCTTTGGGCAATGTTCTACTGGGAAACCTTGGGTCCTGACAATCATGGGGATGTTACCGTATATACTCGAGTATAAGCCGTCCCGAATATAAGCCGAGGGTGGGAAATGAGGCAGCTACTGGTAGATAGATACCAATAAAATTACATTAATATTTATTTAAAAGAAAAATAACCTAGCTCTGTAAGTGGAAAAGGGGGTACAGGGCTACATATCATGTACTATGGATCATTTAACCCATTCATGTTAGCAGAGGATCATTGTAAATGTATTGTCTGCACTGTATTAGCAGTATATACTCTATGTAGAGTATA